TCGCGCAGTACTAGCTACTCAGAAATCTTCGACTGTAATGGCGGTACGAAACATATGACCCCTCGCACACGACGTCAAAACGGAGTACCGATAATTACAGCTCGACCATTGACAAAAAAATGAATTCAAAATGAATAATGATAACCCACGTGCAGCTATAACTCCTGAAATACGTCGCGCAACCCGATCACGCGGCCGACATTATAATTGAAGTGCGAAATTGATTAATCGGATTCTGGTCCGAGGTTATTTCAAGTGAGTCTGCAGAACGCGATAGCTATTCGCGACTACAGACAGATTCTAAGATGTCAAGTCCTGGGAGGGTGATCAATCCTCGTAATCCATCGCTCAACAACTAATGTAACGATTCCTTAGGAACACCAAACGCGAAGTAATGGGATTCCGGAATCAGTTGTTATTGGCAGAATCCCAACTAAACTCGCAGACAATAAAATTGTCAATTTAATTATTCATAGTAATGATTACGTAAAACGCCTGAATGAATTGAATGGAAGAGACCGGTGAAACCGAAAACGGAAGTTGAACCCACGCGAAATAACATTGTGGGGAACTGCAATGTGATACTCCGAATCTGAATTTCTGCACAAAACACAATCAATGGTGGAAAAGAGAAGCACAAAATGAAATTATTCGGAAACCGAAGACAACGAAAAATATGAAAGAAACTTAAATCACTCGAGAAATAACTCATCATGAATTTGAGAAATACTAAATAATTTAAGTTAAAATTTTACTTACAATCGAAGTTCTGAGAGTAAAAAGGAGTGACTCTTACGCAAGCTCCAGGCGGTCCGGTGACCCGCGGCAAAGGGAATACACGGCTGGATATACTACTCGCGCAGCACTGTTACACCCTCTGTATCCACTGCATAACCCCAACCCGGGGCCACTGGCCCGATCAATTTCATCGCGCGGAAAGAGCCTCTGCGAAGAACACAACCGTTTAATCCTTTCCATCGTACTATCACCCTTCGTGAACTAGAACTGAATTTACTAAACCGAAGATGTTCCGACATCTCAATCGTGCGTAATGCTCGCGATTTTAATCCAAAACATTGCGAAATTGATCTTAAACTCGGCTCATATGAGAGTGTCCTTCAACAACGTGAGTGAGACCCCCCCCCCGAAACGAAACTAACGAAAGAGAAAAATTTCCCGAAATTTTCCTTAATTACCGCGAAAAGTATTAGGTGTGTGACTTAATTTTTCCAGATTTCTTCTTCGAGCTTAAAATTATATTTAAAATAGAAATAGATTCGCGGCCTTTTCTGGTTTTGAAAGGATCGGACAAATGGTTTCAGAACACGGAATGATAAGTCTATGTAGGCTACATAACCTTTCAGAATAGCAGAGTTTACGATGGCAAGTAATAAACAGCACATTCGGCACTACATTTTATACGAATTCCAACAAGGAAAAAATGCTTCTGAAGCACGGGAATCAATGTATAGTGTTCTTGGTGCCGACGTTTCATCTTATGAAACGTGCAATTATTGGTACAAACGTTTTAGAAGTGGTGATTTCAATTGGAGTGACCAGCCGCGTCCTGGACAGCCTCAAAAGTTTACAGATGCGGAATTGCAAGCTCTACTGGATGAAGACTCAACGCAAACGCAACAAGAGCTTGCAGCTCAGTTAGGAATCACTCGAACAGCTATTTCTAAACGTTTGCGTCAAATGGGAAAAATCGAAAAACTTGGAAGGTGGGTCCCACATGTGTTGACCGAACATAACCTAGGTCAACGTATGAATACGTGCCTTTCACTGCTTGCCTGGCAACAAGAAAAGGGCTTCTTGTGGAGAATTGTGACGGGTGATGAAAAGTATATTTTTTACGAGAATCCCAAACGTAAAAAGTCGCGGGTAGATCCCGGACAATCCAGTACATCGACGCCGAAACAGAACATCCACTTACAGAAGATTCTCCTGTATATCTGGTGGGACATGAAGGGTGTGCTTTATTACGAACTCCTGGAAACAGGTCAGACGGTGACTGCGGAACGCTACAGCCGACAACTGAACAAACTGAGCGAAGTACTTGATCGGAAAAGGCCATTTACTGGGCAAGGTAGCAGGCAAGTCATACTGCTGCATGACAATGCTCGACCTGACGTTGCTCGCGCGACTCAGAAGACCCTCTTAAACTTGGGATGGGAAGTTCTTATTCCGGTCCATGTGCGTAAATTCGTCGATGACTTTATCGCCTCGAAGCCTGCAAGTTTCTTTCACGACGGCATTCGAATGTTACCTGAGAGATGGCGCAAGGTCATAGAAAACGATGAACAATATTTCCAAGATTAAGTTCGTTGTTCTCTATTTTTTATATTAAATAAATTTACTAAAAAATCTGTAAAAATTAAGTCACACACCTAATAATTACGAAGCATTATTTAAAACAGAAGAAATAGTAATTTACTCCTCTCTATGATTTGATCGCGTGAGGGTCAATGACTCCGCGCGGATAATTTTCCGAAGCACACGAGTGCAGAAGCACTCAAACAGCTAATTGTACACCAGGCGAAGGAATGGTAATCCTCAAATAACCGAATTTCACGCGAATAATTAGACCGATGAAATACTTCAACGAGAAAATTTATTTGAATCAATGCGTGAATTTATACAATTTTATTTCCGAAAAATTCATGGTGTTGAACTGCATTAATTGTTTCCCCTGTTCCCACATGCCTCCGCGGTTTTTCTGAGCTGGTCGTGGAACGCGCTGCAACATCGTGACCTTGTCCTTTGAGGGTTAAAAAGACTAGCGCCCCTTTTGGTAAATTTTGGTTCCTCTCGACTTTCCCCGTCGTTCTTATTTCGGATTGAGAGATTCCAGAAGGGTTGCTGAAAGTTAGTGGACGACAACGCACATGATACCCGCGTGTGTCGTTGAAAAATACGTCACAACATATAATGTATAGAAACATATATATGTGAAAGTTGAAAAACTCTGCACGATATTTAAACGTCAAGATGAGTAATTCATTTCTTCCTTTGGTACACTTTCGGGACGGGACCAACTTTCAAGTTCGATACCGATATTGTGATGGAAAATTTTTTTCATATCGGAATAAGTTGACTTAACTCGCAGGATTAGTCTAGTCAATCTAGACTTTGAGATCACAAAAAGATTTCCTTCATTGAAAAGATTCCAATCGATCCAGAAAAATGTTCTGAACAACATATCCAAATGTTTAAACATGATTTCATCTGGCTGAAATTCAAATTAATTAAAAACTATCGACTTTTTATGCCGTAATGCCAAGAACTTCAACCGTATAATTTTAACTCATTCAATAGACGAAAAAAAATATCAACTTAAAGAGAAAGAATTTCTTTACAAAATGGTACTAAAAAATAATGTTCGAAGATAAATAATTACCACGAAAAAAAATGCTCAAATTGTTTAACCTCACATTACCATCAACAATAACATGAGGCTCCGGACCCGCCCCTTTTCGGTGCGCGCAACTCAATCAAACACGCGCGATGCGCAGTAGATTCGAACGTATGTTGCGTGCTGTCGTACATATTTATCTGATTCTCATTCGATTATATACCTGTTAACCCATCTAATTATTTGTTCCAACATGAAAATCAATTAATGGGATAGCAACAGAAGAAATGTAAGTAATATGATCAGATGATGCATTGACAATTCAGCGTAAATATTTTGTTACTGTTGAAATTGTCAGTAAATTATTGAAATCATATAGAAGAATTATTCAATAGATAATTGATCCCTTCCCTCATTTTATGCATCTGAATGATGCACTATGCAGATAAATGCAATATCAAACATACCATTTAATATTGTTTCCAACTGTTTCAGTAATTTAATTAAAATATCCTTATGAATGAGAATTTTCAGAAGCCCTAGTTCAAACCCACTGCGCATCGCGCGTATTCGATTGAGTTGCGCGGGCCGAAAAAGGGCGGGTCTAAGAACCTCATGTTACTGTTGAGCGTAATGTGAGGTTAAAAAATTTCTGCATTTTTTTTCGTGGTAATTATTTATCTTCAAACATTATTTTTTAGTGTCATTTTGTAGAAAAATCCTTTCTCTTTAAGTTGATAGTTTTTTCTCGTCTATTGAATGAGTTAAACTTATACGGTTGAAGTTCTTGGCGTTACGCCATAAAAAGTCGATAGTTTTTAATTAATTTGAATGACAGCCGGATGAAATCATGTTTAAACATTTTGATATGTTGTTCAGGACATTTTTCTGGATCGATTGGAATCTTTTCATTAAAGGAAATTTTTTTGTGATCACACCACAATTCCATCAACCAGATTGACTAGACTAAAGGAGTCATCCTGTGCGGGTTGTCTGGCAGCCGTCATTGATCAATTTACTCATATTTACACTGAATACCCTTTGTTCGTTAATGAGAGGCGCCTACTTGTTAACAAAACTAAAATACAATCCCCACTCGATTTTCTCCATGCTGAGTCTCTTCAACGCTCACTCAATAAACAATGTCTTGGACTTTATATAAGTTCTAGACTAGTATAAGTAAGAAACTGTGTACCTAATTTTAAGCAATCTATGTTAAGTTGTTCACAGAATGCCAACCTTTCTCACCTTTGTACAAGATATTGTATTTACGCAAAGTAATAAACTGAACTGAAGTTTTTAAAAGAAAAAAAATAATTCAATCTTCAATATCTCCGCCAATAATTGAGTTAGAGAGCTCCGTTTGCGCTCATTTCGCTTCTTTTGGAGTATACTTTCCAATAAGAAAGAGAAAAAACTTTTAAAATTTTGAGGCAATTTTTCGTATACAGAATTGGCGGGCTCGCTCATATAATTAAAAAAGCTTTTCTTTAGGAAATTGCGTAAGCTACAAAAGAGAATCATTTGATATATACTTCTTTCACCCCCCCCCCCTTTTCAAAGCATTACCAAAGATGAAAATTTGAAATTTTTGGAAACCTTTTCTTTCCCTAGAAATAGATGGAGGATGAAAATTGGCCCTTACTCTTTTGAGCCCCTCGCTTGCTCGCAACTTTGACCTTGAATCCTGCAGGAGTCGTGCCCTTGGAAGGCGAGATCTTGACAGTTTTAGGTGGACATGGAGGTGGTGTCAGCACTTTCCTAGTGAGCGATGAACGTTTATTCAAGCTTTTTTTTGTAGGTGTGACTTGACCACCTGCCGATTCTGATCTAAGCCTCTTCGCGTCCCTAATCACTTCCATAGAAGGGTCGTCAATACCAATTGGCTCTTTATAAAACGTAAAGTTGTCTAAAGAAAGTTCCTTTGTTGTCAAACACTCTGCAACTTCTCGAAGACTCTTAACTTTCTTTCCCTTGGGAGAGTAATAATAAATGTCTGCCGATTTCTTTGCAGTACTTTCAAATCCACCCTTGTAAATCATTTCACGCTTCCAACCAAATTTGAAGGGCTCTTTATACAGGGGATTCGACATATCAACGTTCTGACTGTTACTAGATGCTCCCTTAGATTCGGGGTTGTTGCAAAAATTTGGCGGATCTGTTGTAATGGTGTCGATTTTCTTGGGCTCTTTATCGTCTTTTATTTTTGGCTTTTCTTCGGAAGTTATTGATATACTCTTATTATCGTCAGTAGTTTCTTTTTCGAGGCTTTCAGCAGTTATTTTTGACAGAAGGTTCTTCTGAATTCCTTTCGAAGATGCCCGCCGACGTTTTATAGCATTGGATTCTTCCAATTCTGCTTCCACTATTACAAAAGAATGATTAAATATTAAGAATTGTTAGTAGTTTGTAGTCCCAACTTTTTTGGGTCGTCGATTTCGAATTTGTTTGTTGGACTTCACCAAACTCATGTATTCAAAAGTGATAAACAATTTAATTGTTTAAATGCACGTAACTCTGGAGCTGCAAGACCCATAACAAAAAAAATCTGCATATAAAATACTCGTCTCAAAAAACACAAATTAAAGATAAATTAATTGTTTTTTGACTAATCTTGATATCTCAAACAACAACAGAGATATATCTTTTTTCTATGCGGGAGGTGAGCGTGCGCTCATGTGACGTGCGAAGAACGATCTAGTCCATACGCTAGCTATGGTTTTTCCCAGTAAATGAGATGCACGGCAAAATTTGATTTGCAATTAATAATTCAAAAGTGTAGAATACGAATATATCGCTTATTTTACCATGCGGTTGGGCAAAGGTATTGTTATAGACAATTTAATTTTTTCAATGTGGATAACTCGGAAACGATAAGCCCCACAACAAAAAAAAGTCCACAGAAAATATTCGTCTCGATAAGACGAATCCATCGTCTTTTGTCTTCAGTGGATGATAAAATAAGCTACATATTTGTATTCTACACATTCGAATTAGTAAACATTAATAGAATTTAGCCGTGGACCTCATTTTCAGGGAAAATCCATAGCTAGCGTATGGACTACATTGTTCTCCGTACGTCACATGAGCGCACGCTGGCCTTCCGAATAAAAAAACTGTATCTCCGTTGTTTTGTGAAATATCAAGATGAGTCAAACAACAATAGATTTGTCTTGACGAGTTGAGTATTTTATATGCAGACTTTTTTGTTGTGGGGCTTACAGCTCCGGAGTTATGCGCATTTAAACAATTAAATTGCTTATAACTTTTAAATGCACGAGTTTGGTGAAGTCCAACAAACAAATTCAGATTCTACGACTCAGAAAACAGAAAAAGCCAAAGATTCGTGAATTATGCATTGGCAATTTTTTATTGAAATCAGATCAATCACACTTTAAAAAAACTACATAATTGAGGAAGAAAATCTGAAAGAACGTCGTTTCATCTTTATTTTAATGAACACGTGAAAGGAAAAAGTAAACCAACTAATTAAGGATAATCGGGCGAGGAGGAAATCTAGGAGGTGAGGCGGAGGGGTTTCTATTGTTTTCTTGCCGAAATCAATCGCTGAACAAAAAATTTTTTCCCATTCGGATTCAAAATTCAGGTAATATTAGGGAGTATCTCCGGTTAAAAATTATTTTTAGAGCTAGTCAAATTTATTTGTATCTGTTCCACACATTGAATGGTTTTCAGATTGTTTTTTTTTTTTAATAAATGAAAAAATATTAATTCATGCTAAAAAGTGGCAACATCGTCGGTATTTTTTTTTTTTCACCCGGAACTAGTACCACTGGCTCGAGGGAGCTCCAATCGCAACGCTTCATGGTTCTCTCTCTCTTAAGAGAAGTTAAAATTGACCGCGCTACCCGCACCCGATCGGTAATTGGGACGCTGCTGTTCGTTTAGGCTGCGTGCGCAGAAATTCATTTTTCAGTACTTTTTTCGCTATTATTAATAAACAATGCTTCTAGAAGACAATCTTTTTCACTCAAAAAATTATTGATCACATGTTCTAAATGTGTCTAAAGTTTCATGACTTTGGCTGCATTTTTTCCTTGGGTTTTGCAGTTTTTTTTGTGATTTCCATAAGATCACGGGTTAAATGAAAACTTTTTCAAAAATTCATAATAAATAAACCATCTAACCCAACAGTCTGAAACTTTCCACACGCCTTCTCCATCATTTAAAGAATACGTAAAAAAAAAGAAAAAAATGGGTGCTTTTTTTCTCACCCTCCGGACTCGCCCGATTATCCTTACGAGCCATGTTGAAAACACACGCATTGTTTGAACCTTTTGGGGATATCGTTCTTATAGAGGATGTTCTGGACCCCAGGTTCTTGAAATTTGATTCTAAAAACATCAATTTCTGAGATATTTCTCCAGACTTATTTATGCTCGTTAATTATCCAATTCTTTCAATAATTATCGACATCAAGCTGAACCTAAACCGACATTGGTTGATTGTGTTCTACCAATTCACTATGAATTATCTCTTCAAGTGTTGAACAGCCGATATTTTGTAGAATAATGAACCATTCCCCCCCCCCTATTATTCCCTCCATTCTTCTCCTATATCCCTAAGATCAATTGGATGATTTCGCTAATTATTGGACCGGTTTTATACTTAAAAAATTTTAATTCCATCGAGGCTACTCATGTGGTATTTTCAACATTCAAAAGACCAAAATGTTTTTTCTGTCACTGCTACTACGGTCATTTTGTACCGAAATCGTACATTATATCATCAGTCAATACAGTATATTTCGATACGGGTCAGACGGAATTTTCACGACTGTGAAGTTGGCGGCCCGAAGCGAGCCAATGTGAGACATGTGAACCGAATTCCCGTCTCACATGTCTCACATCTGTCGAACAATATTTTTTTTAGACAGCTGCTACGTTCACCTCATGCCGAAAAGTGCCTTTTCGTTTACTCGAAAAGGAAACCGCACTTATCGGCGCGAGGTGAACGTAATAGCAGTGGCAAAAAAATGATTTTTTTACACGTGGGAGGTGTGAACCGCTCGCCGAAGGCATGTGCTACACTCCCAAGGGTCAAAGAACACTTTTCTTACGAGTTTTTTTTACACATGCGGAGCGTGTATAAAATGTCATTTTACGCGCAAGTGATGAAATAGCTATTTTCGTTAAAAAGCCGAAAAATACTTTTCCGACGGCTGTGAGGGATGCAGGCCGAGGGGAAGCCGAGGAATGCAATCACACAAGTCAGAAAAGTTGTTTTCGGCCGAGTGACTAACATAATTTTTGTTCATAATGTCTGTAAACGGCGTTTGACGCACACGAAATATCCGTAAAACGTTTTACGAATATTTAACTTAATGATCAAGTTCAACAAAAATTAATGAATTAGAGAAGTTTTCTAAGCTTGTGAAATGTAACAAAATTTTATTTCGGTTTGTAATTTTTTTTTGAATATACGGAACCACGGAGTTGGATGACATCACTGAGAATTTCAGAGTAAATGGATAAGTTGAACCATGTTCAATTTTTTTTGAGAATCGACAATTAAATTGTTTTTTCATGTTAATTAAAATTTTTGCGATGATTATTGAAATTATTGTTTGCAAATTTCATACAAAAAAACTGCCAATTGATTTGTGAAATAATGTTATGAAAACTTTTGATTTTATATGAATTTAAATTGGCTTCTTAAAACTATAATTTTACCTTGTTTAAAGTTTGATTTCATTTTTCTATTTTGTTCCAACAATTCACGCGACTACAATCCCTAGCTATTTCCGTAAGGTAGACTAAAAACAGAAGAAACTAATACTCATAATTTTTCAGTATTTATTTAACGAAATATCTTCAAATATTTACTGCGAAATAATGACGTAACAGGAGGAAAACCTATGTTAAGGGAAAACCTGACCGGATAAAGTCGTCCCTCCCGAGATTTCTAAATTACTTTCAAACCTTATTTGTTTATAATCACTCTTTATTCCATTTTTTAATTCTTTTTTCATGATGATCGTTCACTTTTTTTCAACTTCATTCTTTGTTCACTGTTCTATCCGAATTTTTCAACTTTAACCGTTGAGGTACCAGTATTCGACAGTCTAAGCAGAATCCCAGGATAAAATTTATGTATTTCGTTATCCAAGTCGAAAATATTATATATAACGGACAAGAAGTGATTTTGAACAATTCAAAAACAAGAAAAATTCAAAAAATCGTATAAGTAATGTAGCTGTAAATAAACATTAACATAAATAAGTCGATGACTCCTACGACCCAGTATCCGACAGCCGAATGTCGCGTAGTCTCAGTATCCAACACTACTGAGGACCCAGTAGAGTCTACTGAGTAGATACACACTCGTGTACGAGGTTAGGTTCATATTGCGAAATGATTAACAAGACAGAAAAATTATAAATATTTATTATATAAATCATCAGAAAACAGAACATGGAATAAATATGATATTCCGTCTGATCTTTCAAAAATCCAAAAATGAATATTTTTGCGATTGATTTAATAACATCTGCATGACCACTTTGTCGATTCTAGTTTCTGAGATATTCACGTTTTTATCTCACCACTTCCCATTTACACCCATATTTTTTTTTAGCCTTCCGTTAAAAAATTCGGTTCCACGGGGAATCAAACTCATAACCTTTCGCACACTAGACTTGCGTCTAGCCCACTCGGCCACCGACGTCGGTTTTTTTACACCAGTGTTTTTTTTATCTTCTCTAGCGATGTCATTTTCGACCCTATGAGAATCATTTTGGGCTCAAAAAATGTGCGGAACATTATCAATATTATCAAAGTACACTGATAGAAAGAATAGTTATTCTTAACGAATGGATTTGATTGAAGTCTAGAGTCTATTCGGTCTCACTAAATGTTCATTCACTAATAGTTAACAAATGCATATTTGAGGAACCTTGTTTGACTCATCTTTCACCTTTCAAATCAACCATTCGTTGACTATTAACGAATATCTACTAGGTCACATTCAACTCTACCATTCGTTGATAATTAACGAATCTCGTTTGGAATAAATGAATTATTCTATCGGTGTATACATAACTCCATATCGACAAATTAGTCCCTTTTCATGCGGACGTCCACAAATCATTAATTAATTACCGATGATTGTGATGATCGTTTAACTTTCCCATTCACATAATCGTTGAGAGGCGAGACACAACAAAAAAATGTCATTGAGATTAGATGAACAAAAAACTCGTATTGGGATACAAGGACAGACTGCTTTATTAGTGTCCCAATATCCGAAAGCGTGATTTTTATTCGTTGTGAATGTTTTTGAATAATTTAGCAGTCTCTGCGCATCCCTAATATCACCCTAATAGTATCTGAAAATACTTAATTG